AATGTACCACCAAATGCATTGCCAAGCTAAGTGCACAATAAGTGTTTGTGTGCTTGCAAGCGTCCGTACTTAGAGGGTGAAAATATTTCTCAATGCTTCTCACTGAGCGAAACAGTCATCATGTATGTGCTGTAGTTTAAACGCTGGTGCCTCACATGTTCACAGCTGCGTGCACTGTGGAAAGCGTCTGTGCTGCTATATTTACACATTAAGTCCAGACGCTGTCACTGCTTTTTGAGATGCACGTTAGCGCATCAGGCAAAACTCCCTCTGACCAAAGGGGAAATCCCTCCGCAGGTCATCCATCCTTTCTCACTGCCTCGGTGCACATTGCTGTTGTTCTCTCTCTCCGTGTCACTGTTTGTATGTGAGTGAACCATGAGAGTTGAGATGATGTAACAGTGAGAGCTGCTGCGGTTTACAGAGGAACAGTTTTCATGATTTTTGGGAAAGAGACTATCTCTCCTGTATGATTCATACTTTGTGCAACAGTCAGTGAGTCAGGAATCAGGCTAAACAGTCCTCCAGATGTCGGATGAAACTCAAATGTTCCCAACATTCATTTTTAGTAACCCTAAAGATAGCGTCAACATTTTGATCCTGTTTGACAGTATCATATTGAATTGTGAGGAGCCCCTTGTGATAAATAACTTATTTGTGCAAGTTAATGTATAATAATTGTGTGAATGTGTTAAGGTGTACATGGGTTATTCTTTGAAACCACAGGGGTAAATTGCCTTTATTGCATAATTCTGTCTTTGAGCAGGCTGGCCCAAAGTCAAAGTGTCCTTCAGTGAATAACAGATGGCTGCCAGCTCACGCTGAGGTGCAGGGGAGCATCATCAGCAACGTCTCGTATGTCACTTTCTCTGGCTCTGCAGTTGCTGGAGATGTGGACCAAGATTTTTCTTGCCTGACAGATTACCTTACAGTCACCTCTCTCTAACAGCTGCCTTTACAAGAGCATCTCAGTGCAGATCGAAATGTAATTGACACCAATTTGAGCCCATAATGGAGGACCCTTGAGCCTGCATTCAATGCATTCTAATATTCTTTAAATCTCTTCTCTCTGTCGCTGTTAAATATCATTTCAGACATTCCCTGGGCCCCCCCTCCTCCCTCAGTCACCTCCAGTCTCACATCCAACGCCCAGGTCCAGCCCCGGTGAGTCCACTCATCTCATTCAGATTCTCAACATTTCCTAGATCTTATCAACCACCAGCAGTGTCCAGAGCCTTCCTATCTATGCAGCCACACCTCCTTCTAAACCTTGACGACATCACGAGGGGTCTAATTCCCAAATAATAGATTCTCAATTATTTATATATTGGTTTCAAAATGACCAAATAGTCTGAATAGCTGTGAATATCCCACATACTGGAACTTTAACGGAGTATAAAAAATCCACCCTTATTAACCAGCAGTTTTATCGCGTTGTTTGCTCAAACAAGCTCTTTATGGTGTTTGACTTTGAGCTGAGGACGCTCAACTCAAGCCCCTTGTTTTGATTTCGAGGAGGAAGAGAGAGAAGCTCTTCAAATAAATCCGAACGGTCCTCACCCTTCAATTTTGTGGTTTCAAGTATGTACACAATGTGACTGATTTCTGTGAGAAAGGCCTCGCAGACAAATGAATCCATTTTAAAGGCTATTACCAAAAGAATGTTCCCTCATTACAGAGAGCGTGCAGGAGATGAGTTGTTAATTTTCAAATGGAAATCTGTTGTCAGGCTGGAAAAGCATTGCAACAAAGGAGAGACCTGAGACCTTTCTCATGGCTTATGTCGGCCTAACTGGAATGTGACAGACGAGATAACGTCACCTGCCTGTTAAAAGTGTGTTTTGGAGAATACTCGACTATTCTTGCAAACACAATGGAAAACATGACTAATTTTGCTGCAGCTCTATCTTCCGAAACATCTGCATTAATATAAAATACGAAATGTCATAGATCGTGGCTTGATATTGACTCTGATGAGATTTTGGAAAGCACGGTTCTCAGCACAATCTGTGTAACCCCCTTCGGTAAAAAAGAGTCAACCACTGAGTTACTCTGCTTCTCGTTCTGACTTGTCAACTTCCCCTAAGGCTAAACTCTCCTGCTCCCTGACCTGCTGATGACCTGATCAAAGTCTCGCTTCTAACCTCTGAACTTCTGTTTGTTGGCTGCACACAGGAGATACGAGCAACTGTTTTCTTTCCTGTCTCTTAGTAATACGTTTCAAACTAGACACCTTATACCTTATTTGGTTTTTTCTTCATGTCGTGTTTTACTTTTAAGAACTTGAAATAACATTTTTCAGCATCGATAACTTTGACTTTTCTAAAGTCCCTACCGCTTTACTATTATGGCGCAACCCTGGAAACAGCAAAGTGATCTGCACACCGTCAAATACAAATGTAACCCACACACACACATCAGCTCCTTCCTTCCTCTGACCCAAAACAACACGAGAAGAGAAGAAATTACCTCATTAGCTAGGCAGAGTTAATCAATCAACGAATGTATGTTGAGTAAACTCGGTTAGTGCTGATATGCTCCTGATGTTTGCATGTAATTATTTATTAGTGAGACACAGCCAGTGAGTAGGATATGTTGGGGAACTATGGGTGATTATTGCAGGAAATGACATTCCTGTCTAATTGTATTAAAATTAAGTGTGTGTGTCAATGGTGCAGGTTTGAGTCTGCATCTGATTATACTGCATGCAAAGCTTTACTTAGTTATAGGAATGAATATGAAACGTCTAGAATTAGATTTAAAAAGTATTACGTTGTCTAAATTCAGATTGGATGGCTTTTAAATTTCCTCAGGCCAACGATAGTTAAGTTAACACATTAAACAAAACCTTTTCCCGCTAGTTCGTTTTTTGAACATGGGAAAATGCAAGTTTAACGATAAGTGGCCAATAAGCCTAACGAGTACTCGTGGTGGTTAAAGCCTGGAAGTGCTGCGGTGTGCAAGTATATTTTTACTTCTGTTGTACAAGGTTGGTCTTAAATTTAATTTTAAAAGGTTTTAAAAAGAGCTGTAGACACAGTGCTATTATGTGATGATGACTTGTACAGGGGCTGAAGTGAATACAAGTCTTTATCAAGTTTACAGTCAGAAACTGGAAAATACATTCACATTAGAGTAGAAACACACACAACAGATGTGAAGTAGCTTTTAGCTCAGTGGTGTTGGAGAGAAAGATGAAAAGAGAGAGGGAGGGAGGGAGAGAGGTTCATTTGAAGCACGGATTGAGAGAGAGAGAGAAGAGAGATGAGCATATAAATGGGTGGTGTCTTTAATCCTGGACCATAACTCCTGACTATTAGATTATACCATAGTCACTGGCTGATGGTGGATGGAGCGGAGAGAAGGGCGGAGGACGAGAGGAACTAATGAAATCAGAATCACTGGATTGTTTAATATGGGGGTGGCACGGTGGATAAGTGGTCAGCACTGTTGAATCACAGAAAGAAGGTTCCGGTTTGAATCTCAGGTCCATCTGAGCTCTTTGTGTGTGGAGTTTGCATGTTCTCTCCATGTCTGGGTGGCTTCCTGTTGTTTTGAGTGTGAATGGTTGTTTGTCTCTATAGGTTGGCCCTTTAGATTTATTTTAAGACATTCTATAAATGGTTTCACATTGTTGTTAGTTTGTAGGTTTTAGGCACATCAGGAGTTTGTGAATGTTCAGACATGAAGCACGTAACGGATGTTGAGCGGTTTCTTTAATTCAGGAAGCAGTTTTGTTTTTTTTTCGGTTGTGTAGAGAACATGATAAAAGAAAACATGTGGAGGGAACATTGTTCCAGGCCGACATACAGAAAATGGAACACACATCTAAGAGAAGGTGCAGCTATATTCGCCACATCTGGAACCCATCCACTTTCTCTGTGTGCGTGCGTGTGTGTGTGCGTGTGTGTGTGTGTGTGTGCGTGTGTGTGTGTGCTTGAGAACAGCAGGAAACAGGTCGGGCAGAATATTTGGTGGATGAGAAGTTTATTTACACAAGCCATAAAACACACACATTCACGCTTGGGTGTTCAGTGCATTCAGTTTCATCGACAACTTAAAAAAAAGACAAGACATCCAGACAGGAAGCATTGTGCACAATCTTATTTTATTCTTACTCTGTTATTGTAAATACACATTTTATTTTTATTTTACTAATAATACTGTATTTATCTGTCTTGTCTTTATCGCTTCTGTATGGAAACTTTTGTGATTAAGGCCAATTTAGTTGATTTCGTTTTATTCTCTTTTACTACGACATTGCACAGCAAGTTAAAGAGGATAAAACTAAATCAACAAAATAGACCTGAGTCATAAGAAAACAGACAGCTTCTTCTTGATGACCTAATCCACTATTTATTTTTATTTAGCCAATGGAGCCTCCCTGCTTGTTTGTATTGTATAAACCACGTGAGAAAGAAACATCTGGAATATGAGATCAAAGTCAACACACACAAAACCTATTGTAGGCACATATGTAGGATGTTTGCAAAAAATACATTCACAAAAAAAAACACTGGCACATACACATATATAACAAGGCATTCATCCACAAAGTTTACCTGATGCTCATAGATCTCATACGTTTTCTGCTCTCTTAAAATACTGGCTTGTTGAGAACTCGTAATTTATTTTTCTCACACTGTGAGAAACACATTGCGTAACCAGGACAACTCCATTATGAGTAGTTTTCTTTGAACGATTCATGACTTGACATCCTGTGAAAATCTGCGGTGGAGGATTTTCTTGCCAGACATTTGGGGTTTCTCTCTGAGGAATAGAAGCAGTAATAGTTACTTTCCCCACAGAGTTGTGTAATTTCACCCAGAAGAATCCACCAAGTGTAACAGTCCACTAATACTCTTCAATCCTGACAGATATAGTACAGGAGGGCAGGTTTTACACGTGGAGATTTATTGGTGGGCCCCCAGTTCCTGGCCTTGTTTAGATTGGTAGTAGAACAATCAACACGAGGATATAATCAGAGACTGTAATCATGATTTTTTTTTTTTACGTGAGCTGTGAAAGGGGAAATCATTGGTTCCAGATGAACCGTTCCTCTGGAAAGACGCACGTTGAGTGAAAAGATTTTATATTTTTAAGTCACTCAGGGTTTTTTCCAGCGTCGACTAACTGAAAACTGATCTTTGGCACAATTTGAAAGTAAACAATGGCCTCTTTTCACAGAGGAACAGATGATATACACTCATCTGGGAGTTCATTAGGTGATAATAATGCAGTCCTGCAATAAATCCTCCTTCATGAGGCTGATAAAGTTTACTGTGATCAAACTGTTAGATTGAAATTAAAGGTACTTTTTTGAGGCTGCTGTCGGTTAAGATAAGATGAGATTAAAGAGTAGCAGCGTAAGGGGAAAGTGTCATAGAAAATAAAAACAAGAATAGAAACATAATCTAGAATGAATAAGATAAAACGAATAGAAAGACCATATAAATCTTTAGGCTTTTCTATTAATGTGCAATATAAAGATAAAAGTCCTGTGTCACATGCTACTATTATTTCATCCACCCTGTTTCAGACCCAGTGAAAGGAAACATTTTTGCAGTATTGTGTATTAGACTGTGTTAGTTTTAGCTGGTTGTACCTAATAAACTGCCAACTGAGTGTATGTTCAACACTTCCAGGCTTAATACTTGAATAAATAAAACATTTGAACATTTTAGCTATTGTGTTCGTTTTCAAGTTAGTAATTTGATGCATTAAAGACGGGGTGTAACGTCATGTAACGTTTATCTGCTGTCATTTAACAATACAACACGATTTCAAGTCCAAAGGGAATTGCAGTCTCATGTGAAGAACGTTTTATGATATCTCATATCAAATGCTACATACTGTGGATGTACTGATGAACGAAATGACAAATAACCTTTGACGCTCGGATGGAAGTCGTGACCATATTGTGCCAGAAGTGGTTCCTTCACTTTCATCCCGCGGGGATCTGGCAGGAATGCGAAGGGTTAGGGTTTCCAAAGCAGAGCAGAGGTTACGGTCAAAGGTGAAGAGGAAAGATAATGTTCTCAAGTTGATGATCAGTGAAGTGTTCAGGAGAGAAAGACGTGCCTCAAATATCTCTACACCTGTGTCACTTCTCGGTTTTATCTGCTTCTGACAATTTAAATGTACATCTCAATCTGGCTTTGAAATATATCTATTCTTACTTTCACAATAAATGGTCATTTCAGACCTGACCAGTCCATCTCCTATCATGTGATCCTAACTGAATGTGCCACATTGAGCTCTGTCTCTATTTACTTGATTTTATATGCATCTCTATACAGTTACATATTAATGGCAAGTGAGAATGGTTCACCACAACTGGATACTTTTACTACTACTACGGTTTGCAAAAGCAGCATTTGAATCAGAGAAGACGTGTCCAAGCAGCGCCGTTGGTCATCTCTCCCTTTGCAGCCTTTTCCATTTAACTCGATTCACTGATATATCATACAAGCAGCAAAGGAGACACAATGTTGAGCTTTTATAATTAACACTTAAGCTACACCCACACTAGTACACTTTGGTTTGTAAAGGCTGTTTTCAAACTAAAACTATCTCTGTCCACATGAGCGTTTTGGCTCCATATCATATAGGCATGCGTGTGCCGGCGTAAACAGGAAGGCATGCATGCAACACTCAGTTCTCGCTGGATACTGGAATTGTCGCAGATCAGCGAGTGAGAGAGAGAGTTTTCAAACTAAAATGGAGCCAAGACCGTTTCCAAACTTTTGTGTTTTGGTGGCTCTAAACCTCCAGAATAGTGTGGAACCAGGCCTACGTGTAGCAGAGTTGATGTGTTTTCAGATTAAAACAGAAGTATGGATGTAGCCCTAAAGCTCTAGAGAAGTCCACATGTGTACGATTTACTGAGATGCCAGAAGCAGTTGCCCTCCAGCTGACAGAACCTGATAAGTGCTTATCTGTGAGACAGTAAGAGCCATTATCACATGAAAACACCAAAAAAATAAATAAAACACCTACTATGAGGATGTGGTGGCGCATGGAAGCAGAAATCACACCGTCCAATAAATATAAATATCAAAATATAACGTGCTGCTATGGTCATAGATTTTCCACGGATTGAAAATGGTCGGTGTAGTCCAACGCCATGCGAGACAGTTCGATGTTCGTGGTTTTCGTTTGACTGAATGTTGATTTAAACATGGAGCTCCCGGAAGTTCCCATGGGTGCCCGGCACACTGATGCCCAGAAAAAGTGCAGCACGCTGGGGGAGAGGAGGATGAAGACCCAGGGGTCAATGATGGAGTTGATGGAGATGAAGCGCAGGGCAATCAGGTCCAGTGAGTGAATATCTGATTGAAATCTTGAGTTGATGTACACCCGGATCTGAGAGGAGGGGAGTGAGAACAGAGAGGAGGCGTGTTAAATTGGCTCTCCAGGGTTTAATCCCACTCTTAACATCCTAGTTTACATCCTGATAATAAATCCCACACTAAACCATCTTCTATATACAGCACTTTTTCTATCACACATCCTTCACATGCTGCCAACACAGCCATCAGGGGCAATCAAGAGTTCAGTGTCTTGCCCAAGCACACTTTGGAATGCAGACGGGAGGAGCCGGGGATCGATTAGAGCACGACGACCTCCTGAGCCACAGCTGCCCTCTGTTTGTGTGTGTACGTGTGCGCTTGTGTGAGAAACTAGAGTCTTCATCGGTCAGAACATCAGCATGTTACGGCTGCTCCATTACAAGATAGTCAAATAGCTTTGGTACTTTTTGTGTAATCCTGTCAAGAAATACATAAACAGCCACAGAGGTAAACTTAGTAATTAATACAACTGAGATAAATTGAAGATGAACATCAACCTCCATCTTGCTCTCCTACACAAGGAACGAATGGAACCAGCCGTTCGATTACAGCTGTTTTTACTCGTAGCTTTGGGGCCAAGAGCAGCAGACTTCGCTGATTATTTCCCTCTCTGTGGTTTAAATATGTCAGTGATATCAGCTACTGCAGTGAAGGAGAAGCTGTGGCCACGAGGTTTGGAGCCAGCGCATTAATACAATCCATGGAAGCTATGACTCAATCACAGGTTTAGAAGGTTGTGCTGCTGTTCTCTCTGGGGGTCGCAGAGGAACAATATCCAGTGAAATGTGAGAGGAAGAAACCACCTTGTAACTGTTTCTATTCTTTTCCCTGATATTTTAAAACCTTCCACCCTTTCTTGTCTTCTAGCTGATCTCTGAATTGTTCATGCTATTTATTCATTCTCTGTTTCCTGTCGTTCACTGTGAAGCTTTTCTTCTGAATGTGCTCAGGTCTGTAAAAACTTTCTAGGATGGCAATGATGAAAAAATCAAAAGCTCAATTAGCAGTCACACAAAACAATGGTGGGATCATCCCCTGTCAGACTTATTATTCTTTAACAAGTGTCCCAAATCTCCATTCATCCATCTAAGCTCTTAACACTCACTTTTCCATATTTCCTCAGTGCATTAAAATGTCAATTCGTTTCATGACTCATTTAGGAAATATTACATCACCGTGACCCCAAAATCAACAACCAACATTTCAAATCAAAGACCTTTGGAATCAAAGATGAGTCATAACAACCCCCAGTGACACTTTAAATGAGACCACAATCGCAATCCTATGATTAGTGACAGACCTTCGCATGTGAGACAAAAACTGTGTTTTTTTAAAGGCTGAGTCTGTGAACTCACTTTCCTCTGCTATTATCAAAGTGTGACTGTGAAGTGAATGTGAGGCTCAGCAAATATTCAGGGGGTCGAAGATGAACGCTTGTCTGCAACATACCTTTCATTCCTGAAGATGGAGACGAGGATATATATTGTCCTATTTGTCCTACATTATGTTACTGTAGTAGAATTTGTCTTTCTCGACCTCTCCATCAATGTCTGAGCAAAAGGCCACAGTCTGGCCTTTTCAATTTTTAATGCTGTCAGAGAAACATCATCAGTTTTATATTTGCAGAAAAATGTAATATGACCTGGCCAATGTGTTTGTGTGTGTGGTGTCTCAGATTGTGGTATCACATTGTTGGACACCCGGGAGGGTTGCGTTTCATGCTCTTCATAAATTATGCAATTCTCGTATTATTTAGTGTGTTTGAATGTATAACCTCGAGAAGCCCTGTGACCACAAAGCAAATGTGATGTGTAAGACTAAAATCTTAATTCAAGCCCCTCCTTCTAACAACAACTGGTGATGGGTTATAAAGCTATCAAGATGATTCATGTTAACATTGATGAATTAGTTGAAATGCCTTACCTGGATTTAAATGAATGACTTATCTTGGTTTACAACCTTTATGGAGTCACTGTTTCTGTGCCCCAACAAAACGTATTGATCAGGCTCTTGTTTCTGTATCTGTTTCTACAAAGCTCCTCTGCACAGGACGCTGAGGGCCTTGCTGCTGTGCTCACGCCTGGAGCTCACGCCTGGAGCTCACTTTGTATCGATAGAACATCAGCTTAACAGTGAAAAGTAAAGTAGCTTCTCGTAAAGATTATGACCCTCGTGATATTCTCTTTTTTAAATATTAAATTCACTGTGATGAACAATTTGGCACTCGCTGCAGGGTTGACGGTTATGACTCTGCATTTCAAACCACAACTGAGATGCATCAACAAATCAAATTGCCCATTATTGTTGTTGGTGAGTAACATCCGTCACTGCAGAGGAAGTTATTGATTTCCTTTTAGAAGTCCACGGTGACACTTTCAGAACCCACAGTGGAAGGTTACAGACAGATGAAAACAGGAGGAAGCATGATGGCTCCTTCACTTTTCTCACTGTACATGCTGCTCCTTGGTCAAACACAAAATCGAAAACCATAGACGCCCTGAGATATGTTATTTACATGTTGAAACCTTATCTTGTGTTGATGTGTTCTTAGATTGGGTGGCGCTAGCGGGTTTGAGGTTAGTGAGAAGTAATGCTCTCACTCTCAGCACGACGGAACTTGAAAATCAATTTCTTCTTTTGACCTATTGACCCACTGAGCCAATCTAACCCCATCATAGTCGGCTAATTGCTGTTGCATTCAAGGATTTATAGGGTCAGTTAACCAAAACTACAGTAACGCATCAAGGACAAAGCATGTGTGCGTCATGTGCTGTCATCTTACCACTAGTGGCAGTGTGCATATGATGAAGATGATGGTCATAAACACCAGCAGGATGAGATGCTCCACCTCCTCGGCCATGGACATCACTCTGCGGTCATTGTTGGATCTTATGGATCCCATCATAGAGCCGCAATTCCTCTTGCGGCGTTGGTACATCCTGAAAAGCTGGAACACCACGAAACCGTTGCACACCACAGTGACCAACACCAGCAGGAGCATGATAGTGGCATACAGGATGGCGTACGCGCCGTCCTTTACTGCCCTTGGGTTCATATCAATGAAGCACCACGTGCCAGGGCAGTATTGTACATATTTACCAAACCCGGCAAAAGGCCCGAGACAGAATATTATACATAACATAAACACCGATGGGATTGTGATATAGGCACATTTCTTGGTGACATGCCGGGTGTACAGGTAGGGGTATCCAATGGCAAAGCATCGCTCTAATGCCATCATGAAGAGGAGCGACAAGGTAGCCAGACTGAAGAAGGTCATGCTGACACCAAAATATGAGCACACACTTTCAGTTTCAGGCGACATCCCCACCATGGTCGTGTTGGTTGAATACGCCAGCTGCACCAGTGGGCTGACCAGGCAGGTCCCAGCCAAGTCCGTGAGAACCAGCACCGTGATGAGAATGTGAAACAGTGAACGCCGCGATGTGCCGGCGTTCCTTGTTTCTCTGCGCCGCCGAATCTCTAGGATCACCAGTGCAGCTACATTACCAAAGATGCCCGCGCCGAACATGATGGCACTGATCAGCGGGCTTACGGTGGAGTTGATGTACTGATAGCTGTGGCATGGATCAGATTTATTCGTCATGGCTGAAGACTGACGGAACTTATTCAGGAAATATGTCTCTGATCCAAAAAAAGTGTCACAAATGTGTCTTCAGGTAGTTGTCTGCAGCCGTCCTTTAAAAAAGAGCAGACAGAATGTGTGAGAGATTTAAGACGGCCACCATCGATGAATTGATTAGTTGATCAGGAGAAAATTGGAATAATTGGTTAATTGATCATGTCAAATATTTGCTGATTCCCCTTTCCCAAATGTGAGGATTTTATGATTTTCTTTGTCATATAAGATCGTTACATAAATACCCTTGGATTTTGGACTGAATGAATTTCACTAAAAAGACATTTAACACGAAATAGAGTAGGTCTGGGTAATGTGGCCAGAAATTATATCAGGTTACACAATAATAAAACGTCACAGTTATTGAAAACGTCAGATATTTGCTCCTGAGTGGAGATTGTGATTTTAAACTCTTTACTGTCGCCACTTTTAATCCCCAAAACAGTGGTCTCATACAACACAAGTAGAAAATCAGAAGCTAAAGTCCGATTATGTTGCTGTGCTGCACAGCTCTAAACATAATCAGGAAATGCTGCAGATGAGGAGCTGGCAACAACATTTGATTGATGGCCACTCAATGAGATGCAGCATCTTCTGTGGAGGATTTTTGCAAGAATTTTCTGACTCTTGTCAACAACACAATGTCTGCGAGTCTGTGGGTCGCTCCTCTGATCCCACTGAGGAGGGAGATTATCTTTGCATAAACTCAACATTCCTGCACTTGAACTTTGCTCCTGATGCGAAAGCCAAAGTTTATCTTCATCATTTTTCTGTGTCATCTATCCATCCATCGATCCATCCATTCCCCTATTACAGGCCTACATAAGTGTGTGTGTGTGTGTGTGTGTGTGTGTGTGTGTGTGTGTGT